ATATATATATATATATATATATATATATATATATATATATATATATATATATATATATATATATATATATATATATATATATATATATATATATATATATATATATATATATATATATATATATATATATATATATATATATATATATATATATATATATATATATATATATATATATATATATATATATATATATATATATATATATATATATATATATATATATATATATATATATATATATATATATATATATATATATATATATATATATATATATATATATATATATATATATATATATATATATATATATATATATATATATATATATATATATATATATATATATATATATATATATATATATATATATATATATATATATATATATATATATATATATATATATATATATATATATATATATATATATATATATATATCACTATGTTTTTTATATCAAGGATTTTCAAAGAAAAAGAGTCCTTAAGTGAAAATCTTAATGATGCAGTATCTAATAAAGTTCTCAAACTAGAAGAAAAGATAAAGCCCGCTTCTAAAAATGAACTTGTTCAAAGTAGGATGAAAGAAGTTTCCCATAATGGTCCTAAAGGTAAATGACATAAGATTAAAATCCAAATCGAGCTTGAAGCCAATCTTAACAAGGTCAAGCTGGATCTTACTAGTTCTTTAGAAGGGAATAAAGAACTAGAGAAGGACCTAATCAAAGTTAAAGTGAACTTGAACAACCTCCTTAGAGATCTCATCTTCTGCCAATAAGATAATCCATAACAAAGGTATAGGAAGATCTGTACATTCTACAATCCTCATAGTAAGTACGTATTCAATCATGATAATTGATTGTGTATTCATTGTGGACGAAATAGTCATTTTCAGGACGTATGCAAAGCTATATTTTCTATAGTAAAAAAGAATTAGGAGTTTGTGGAAACAAACGGGAACTCATAGGAACCTAGTTCCAGAAAGAAAATACATATGGTGCCCTCAAGGATGTTTCAATACAAATTTATTGATATTATCATAATTTAACATTAATCTATTGAAATTAATCATCCATCAGACAATTTCATGAATAATTAAACATCAACGTGTTGATGACATTTGATCGTAGATCGAGTGACTTTTATAAATAACTAAAAATTAACCTATAGATTTGATGATATTCAATTGTCAATCAAGTGTTTATGAATAATAAAAAATTAACTTATTAATTTAATGATATCTGATTATCACTTCTTCATTGCCAAGTTGGGACTTGAGAAATTAGATGGTTCTTTTTGTCCATCAACTTTTCTTTCTTTTGATTAAAGTTGAGATTGCTCAATTTTAATCAGAGATTAACTTCTCTCCACTGTCAGTGGACAAGAAAATTACACCGTCTATTTTTTTTAGAAATATTTATTTCGTTTGATTTAATTATTATATTTTCATATTTAAAGATTAATGATTTTTCAACTTGTCCTTTTCTTTTTTTCAAACACGTTTTAAAGATTTAAGATTTTTTTTTAAAGAACATTCAAACATTTTTGATACTATTGACTTTGAGTATTATTTAAATAAATTGGAGTACATATGATGATATATGGATCAAAGTATGTTTTCAATTAAATTTTGTATTGTTGATTGAATGAAACTAAGAAGAGAAAACACAGTCTGAAGCAATGGAAGCACTTATCCAAAAAAATAATAATTCATATTGCGAAGAAGACTTAATAAGTTATGAATATTTTTTTAATGAGATTAATTAGTCTAGATTTTAAAAAGAAAAAAAGAAGTAAGAAGTTACCATTGATGATTATCTCAAATTGCTTCAATGGTGTTGATGGAGAACGGGGTGAAAATAATGAGGACAAGAAAGCGGTAAAATAATCCTTCTTATTTTTGGCAACCAAATAAGAATCCTAAACAAACTCCTATGATTAATTTAGAGTCCAAGTTACTAAATAATATTTTTTACTTATTCTTATTTAAATATTAATAATATGTGAATGTGTTAAAAGAAATAAGTATTTCTAAAAATGAATTGACGGTGTAATTTTCTTGTCCACTGTCAGTGGAGAGAAGCTAATCTCTTTTAATCAATGCTATTCTAGCCAATACAAATAAATTATTTATATTTATGATATGATACAAAAAAAAATAGTCTTTTGTTAACTGATTGTTTAGGTTGAACTATACAAATAGTTAGAAAGTCATGATTAGGGATGTGCATGGTATGATATGGTACGGTATTTGAAAGTTTTGATATAGTAATTTTGGTGTTCGGTTTTTAAAACATTGTATCATTACCATACCAATTTAATTCGATATGGTTCGGTATTTGAAGTTCGGTTTTGGTATTCGACGGTATAGTAAATCAGTAACCATAGTTTGTTCAACTTCAATTAATATATACTCATATAATAGAGTATTATGACTTTGACAATTAAAAAAAGGCCTTAATTGTATCATACTAATACATTACATGTAGAAATATATATTCAAAATAAAGTACAAACAACTCCTTTTGTTAAATCAATTGCATTTCAATCAAAATAGAATAGTCAAAGTTTCAACTTCTAAACATTTAGGGGTGGTTTGGTGTGATGGATATGAGGATTTAGTCTCGGGATAACTTTTAAGTGGCCTTTAATCCGTTGTTTGGTTGCAAAGGTTGGGATAACTTATCCCAGGATTAACAATTAGTCCTCGGATAAGTTATCCCTCCATGGGGGTGAGGATAACTTTTCCTGGGATAAAGTAAAATAACAAAAATACCCCCCTTAAACTCTCTTTTATACACCGCTTTTACATTCATGTATATTAACATAATTTCTAATAACATTTATAATAACATTCACAGCCTTAATTATTCGTTGCTCTTATGATAATATATTTTTCTATAAAAAATTACATTTTATAAAGAGCAACTTTCACATATAGCAAACACAAAATTCATGTTTGTATGCTATAGCAAAGTTTGCATAATTGCGCTCCATAACAAACATAAATATGTATATTTCGCTATACATATACAAAAGAAAGCAGTTGTATAATCTGCTTTGGTATACATATACAAAAATATCAATTGTATAAAGTGAGAGAGGCGAGTGAGTGAGCGAGATCTGGGAGAGTGGCGAGCGAGATCTGGGAGAGGGGAGAGAGGGGAACGAAAATATATGTATATATACAATTTTCTCTCGCTTTATACAAACACAAACACATTTTATACAATTTGCGTTTTTTGTATAAAGTGAGAGAGGTGAGTTGGCGAGCGAGATCTAGGAGAGGGGAGAGAGGGGAATGAAAATATATGTATATATACAATTTTCTCTCGCTTTATACAAACATAAACGCACTTCATACACTTGCGTTTGTATAAAAAAACGAGAGAGGCGAGGGAGAGAACGAAAGTGGCGAGCGAGATTCACCAGGAGAGAGGTGAAATAGCAACAGTTTGCTATGAGGTACAATTAAATCAAACTATATTTATAGCATTTAATTTGAATTAATAGTTTGTTGTTATATACAATTTTCCCTTTTATAAATACAATATTCATTTTATGAATATATTATAAGTTGAATTTATTTGCCTAATTATACGTTTTGGGCTGTTAAAAATGAGCCAATTGGATTTGTAATGGCCCATCTTTTATTGGGTTGTTGGCAGAAGGAATTGCCCAATAAGCTAATCCATCTAAGATTGGCCCAATAAGACTATTCATCTTGTTGGTGACAATTGGTCCACACCACACTCCATTATAGTCATATCAACAAGATTTTTTATTTTTTAAAAAAAAGAAAACACGTTTTGCAATATTTTATCTTCTATTCTAAATTTTAAAAGGGATAATTGTACAGAATGACAAACTTATAATCTTGTTTCTCTTAAAATTTCACTCCACTACTAAATTACATATTTTTTAATTAAATAGTTTATTACTCACTTAAAAATTATAGTTTACATATCAATTAAAATGTAGATAACTTTAATAATATTGTTTTTTACTTTAATATACTTAAAATGAAAGTTTTATTTTTAAGTTAAATAAGATGAAAGTTTTATTTTTAAACTAAATAAGATAAAAAAATTATTTTAAAACTAAATAAGATGAAAGTTTTGTTTTTAAGCTAAATAAGATGGAAATTTTATTTTTAAGTCTCCCTCCAAATTCTCGCTCGCTACTCTCCCTTTCTCGCTCGTTCCCTCTGTGCTCGCCTCTCTAGCTTTATACAACAGAATTGTATAAATTGCGTTTCTGTTGTGTTTTATTTTTAAGTTAAATAAGATGAAAGTTTTAATTTAAAAAACACACAACACAATCATGGAAATGCGCACACAAAAATATTTAAGCTAAATAAGATGGAATTTTTATTTTTAAAATGAATGACTAAAGTTTGCAAAGAAAATGTAAAAAAAAAAAAAAACTAAATAACTCTTTGCCTTTCTCTCTTTCTCGTTTTATACAAACACAGAGTACTTCTGTAAACAAACAACTTATTATTAGAAATTATGCAATGAATAAAAGTTTGAATATGACAAACCAAACAAGCAATAAAAACTAATCCCAGCATAACTTATCTCAGCATAACTAATCTCAGCATAGCATGTACTAATACTAAGTTGCATATTTGTTAGTATTTTAATAATATATATGTTATTTATGTAACTATATACTTCAGTATGATATTTGATCTTTCTAAATACCAAATACCGTATCGAATACCAAAAAAATTAAAAATGTGTACCATATACCATACCAAATACCATAATACCAAAATCATGGTATTAAAATTCATGATTATATATTAATATATTAAATATTAATCTAGATATCATAAACAATTAGCGTTTGTAGTCCAACGGTTAGGATAATTGCCTTCCAAGCAATAGACCCGGGTTCGACTCCCGGCAGACGCAATTTTTTTTTTTTTTCGTTCAGACCTTTTCCTTTATCCTTAATAAAAATGTAAAGAAAAAATAATACTCTGTGGACATGCGCACATTCGCCCGCATTCCGATGGAAGAATTAAATACTCAAAAATTCTATTCTCTGCAACTAACATTCTCTGCTTAGAGAAATGGCCTACCATTGAGTTTTCCGGTTAGTGCTTTCAGCTCTCAATTCTCATCTATTACTATAGTTGCGTATTTTTTATGATGAACTCGCTTCTATTTGTCATCCTTAATTGCGTTTTGTTTAGGCATGTATGAAGAAATCATAAAGCCTTTTTTTTTTCTTTTTTTTGCCTCTGCTGGATTTCATCCCTGTATTATTAGATTGTAGTTACCGAGTAAGTGAGTATGAATCATAACATACAACTGATTTTTTGATTATTCATTGATTCAGTATCTAGATGTATACTCTACACACACTAGAACAAAAGTTTCTAGAAGCCTTGAGATTTTCCTTCAGTACTCCTCAAGCTGTGAATTTTTATAGGGTTACCAAGGCAAAATCTATTTTGTGCTGTACGGAACGGACTATAACTGTCTCCAATTTCATACATTTTTTGTTGCATGAACTTTATTTGTCCTAATTTTGATTATAGTTTCAATTGCTTGTTTTATTGATGAATTTTGATTTCTCTATTATGCTAATTTGAAGGTTGGGCAGTGTTTACTTTGTTCTTTGATAAAAAGAATTATTGGTGAACCAATCTTTTCCATTGCTCTATAGCCTAACCCTGTTTTTATGTGGTACTATTTGATGTTGGTTTCTGAGTCTTGATTCAAAACTTACAACTGATTGATGCATACAATTGTTTACTAATTACCCTGTCGACGGTGCTAACACTTTTGCTTATGAACAGAGTAAATGTGCACTTGAGTAGTATAATTTCCTTCTGCTGAGGGTATTAACCCTTCGCTCAGTCATAGACAAAAGACATATATAGCTGAAAATGTTAGGATTAGTTGATTGAATTGACTCATAGGCCACTCCGGGATATAAACTTGGGACCTATTGCACCCTACTTGAGAATCATGCCACTAGTTCATACCTATTTCATGGATCTCCATTTAGTCTCATCTTTACCCTATTTTTATTTTGTCTGATTAGAAGTACAAAAAATGTTTGGAGCAAGGGGCTTTGGAGGGAAAAAGGGGGAGCGGAGGGGTGATTTTTAATTGAATTAGGGACAGAGCTCCTCATAGAAAGTTGGAAACTGTCAGTTCTCATAACAAGGCTTAGGCTGACAAGGTAGGGCGCAACCCCAATTCTCAACCTTGACCTACACAAATGGTATGTTGACCCACATGTTGAGAATTTTGTTAGGTTCTTAGTAGCAATTGGCTAACTTATCTTCTTTTTACCTCACATAACTTTTTCATCTCTTGGTAGTTGGAAGTTCTAGTCAGACATGTTCAATAATCTTTATATCTCCTAGTTATCATTAATGAGATATTAGTTTAGAACAAATTGGTTTCGAACTCTCTAAATTCTCTTTAGCCCTAGGGAGAAGCAGCATCGAGAAAGTTGTGAAGATTATAGTTTAAATAACTCCATCGAAGTTGAGATGGGCATTCCTCATCTTTTAAAGGAACTTTGGTTCACACCCATTGTTAACATCGACACTAGGTCAAATGTTTAAGACTTTTTCTTCACCATCCCTAATTACTTAGTCAAAGCCTTGAATTTTCTCATAGTAGTCTCCAGCTACTATGTCTAGAGGTCTTAATTCTGAGACAATTTGTTTTGAATTTTCTGTATCAACTAAAACTATCTCCAATACCATACTATTTTGTTGCATGAACTTTGTTTGGCTAAATTCTGATTATCCTTTCTCTTGTGTATTTCTTGCATGTTCCACTGATGGAATGCGATTCTCAATAAAGCTAATCATTGGTTTTACTAATTTGAGGCTTTGGCTTTTACTTTGTATTTTGATAAAAAGATTCAGAAAAACCAAGAAGCGGTCCAAGGCTCAATTAATAAAACCAAACATTTAAGCTATGACAGTTATTGGTTTTACTACTGTTTCCCTTATTAGTTAGTGCTCTTAATGTTTGTCTTGATTGTCTAATTGAGGAAGAAAATGTGTAGGTTCAAAATATCAGTTTCTGAAAAGTGGGGCATTCCGAGAATTGAACTTGGGACCTCCGCACCATAAATGCCCAATCTTTGTGTTTTGTTCTCTTTCCTGTTAATTTCTCTTTGCTTATTTTTTCTATGCATCATCTTTATATGCATTAAACAATTTGTAGGTCACTGTGTTGTCATTACTGTGGTTGCCGATTTATTTATTTCATACTTCTCTATTTGGCTATGAATTTCCTAGTTAATATAAGGAGATGCTGGATTACTTGTCCAAAATAAATATGCAAATTGGTGGAATTAGTTGTCTCTGAATTGAAAATATATCCCTGCATTAGTTAGATGTCGAGGGTATGTTCACTTCTGTTGAAATTTTGCATTTGCCTTAACGAAAAATAAATGAAATGAAAAGGAAAAAGTTAAGAATAATAAAGAAAAGAAAAGGGTAAATGAACTCCACAGATTATCCATGTTTCTTTTACAGTGTCATAGTTGACTTTGGATCAGATCTCCAATTAAAGTGATTTCTCTTAATCCCTCTAGAACTGCATGGATATAAAAGGTGTATGATTCGTTCAAACATACATCATTTGCTTTGCTTCAACATTTAGAAGTTTAATGCACTAAGTAGAGATTGGGTAGGAATTATTTTTAGATAAAAACTGTCTTAACTTGCATCTTCACTCATTGAGTCATTCATAAGGGGGAGTGAGATTTAAGATTTTTTTTTTCTTAAAATTATTTTGAGATGTGTATTTAATCAAAAAGGAAGGGGGCATTCCGAAATCGAACTCGGGACCTCTCACATCCAAAGCAAGAATCATACCACTAGACCAAATGTCCAGTTGTTGATGAGTGTCATTTTGACTCATGATCAATGTGCTTTCTCAATGGTCAGCAATAACTTAATCACAAATGCCATTGCTTAGTTGCAAATAAAGAATCTTTTAACCTCTTATTTCACACCTATTGATCTGCATTTGCTTACTGGTAAAAGGTTTGAGGGCTTCTTTGGACTCCCATTAGAATAATGTTACTTCCTCTGGTCCAAAAATAATTGATGTTTTAGGCTTGGGCACATGGATTAATGAATTCACTTCTAAAAATTAATAGAGACTTTGACTCAAATACCCTTAGTTATGATTTTCTTTTCTTCTTAGGCTGACATAAGTATCATCAAATCTGTACATTGAATTAGGAATGTGTCAAAGGAAAATTTGGAATTTTTTTTTAATACCTTCTTGATTTTGTAAAACATCAATTATTTTGGACCAGAGGAAGTAGTAGATAAACAGAGAGTCTTAAGACTCTTCTTCTCTTGCAGCCTTTCTTCTATGCCTGCTTTCCTCTAATTCCTAAAGAGCTGTCAGTTTTGATCGTTTCCTGTGCATTTCATGTACAAACCATTTTTGTCATACTCAAATCTTTTGGGACATATATATCACCAGTAGCGGAGTCAGGAGTTTCACTAAAGGGATTCAAAATATAAAGAAGTAAACACATGAAGAAGCCAAGGGATTATAAAACCTACCATATAGACAAATAATGTTTTTGGCCTTTTATATACGATGTAAATTTTCGGCGAACGAACCACCTTCCATCCTTTGGCTCTGCCGCTGCATGTCAACTAGGAACTGTATTTGGGGGTGGCTTAATGCTTCATGTTTTAGCTCCAAAATTTGCGTCGGTGTCACAACTTGTGTAGATGCCCAAGGTTAGGAATGGTAAAAAGGAAAAAATGGGCTTTACGTTTAGTTTAATCTTATTTTCAGATTATTTGAATATCTTCTTGATTAATCTAGTGTGTTTCTACTTGTTTGTGTTTTATTCTGCAGGTCCTTGCATGTAAGTTGGGTCATAAAGCAGCATGAATCTTGTGAAATTTAAGTAAAGAGAAATTAAATGATTCATCAACTAGGGATAGCAATCTTACTCCTGATTTGAGCAAGAATTCAAGGATCCCTTGCCTGAAACAGACAACATACCACTAGAGAAATGTTTGATTTTTTGGTAACACCTGCCATTGATCAATAACTTCATCTATCATTGTTGACATCCATGATCCATGAAATGAACCTTGTTTATGAAACTTTTCTGAAGGACAAATATCTTACTAGCTAAGTCACTTCTCATTTTGCCTACTCTTTCAAATAAACCAACGGAAAGGTGTAAAGCAAGAACACTTAAAACTTTCACTTATCATGGTTGAGATGCTCGTTGTGCTGGTCTATTAGCATAACACTGCAGATCACTTGGGGTTCTGTGTTGTATTTTCGGCCTTCATATCTGCTAAGTGGTGAATTAGCAGGTGAGCACAAAATAGCATGCTTTTCTGAATCATGATTTACTATTCTTATCTTTCAGATGCAGATGGGTTTAGCATAGGTGTTCTCTTTCAGATTAGGAAGAAGTCAGTTTACCTGTTGTGATAATAAAAATGTACATTAGCTGAAAGTCTTAGTTGACTTACAATTAAAGTTCATACCTAACAGAATATATAGAAAGCTCTGATAATTGAGGACTATGTATATAACAAGAAGAACTAGAAATTGTCTGCATTGGCAGTTTGGATTAAAAATATATGTTGTAGTTTGCCTTTAAAAGTTGCCTGATTTTTGTTATTGCATAAACTAATGTGTCAAAGTTGACTTTGGGTCAGATCTCTGACACTATTAAGTAATTTCTCTTTATCCCTTTAGAACTACATGCCATATAGGTATGTTCTTAGTTAAAACATACATACTTTGTTTTGCTTTTACCTTTAATGCACTAAATAGAGCATGAGTCAGAAATTCTTGCAGATAACACTTATGTTGTATCTGCACTTGTTTCACAAAGAGTAGTCAGATTTAAAGGTTAAATCTTCTTTTAAAAGGAACAAAGAATGATTGGTTGATGGTGGCATTCAATGAAACCAAGATTGTTTATTTTGACTTGTCAGATTCTAAGGTCAATTTTATTTAAATGAATTAGGAATAATTTAGATGTATATTCATTAAAAAAAAAAGAATGGGGCATTCCGAGAATCGAACTCGGGACCTCTCGCACCCAAAGCGAGAATCATACCACTAGACCAAATGCCCAGTTGTTTATGCATGTCATTTTGACTCATGATCAATGTGTTTTTCCGAATATCAGCAGTAACTCAATCATAATCATCACTGCTAAGTTGCAAAAATAGGAGCATATGTCATCTTTTACTCTTAACATTCCTCGTTTTACATATGCAAGTTGTTGCAATTAGTTGTCTCTGAATGGAAAATACATCCTTACATAAGTTAGATGTCAAACAGTCTGTTGACTTTTGTTGATTTGCGTTTTTATAGCATAAAAGTAAAAAAAATATAAGGAGAAAAAGCTGAGAGTATGTCCTAGCCTTGGTGGACAGACTTACTTGGTACTTGTTGCTGGTGGGAGGTGGCCGGTATCCCATGGAATTTGTCGAGGTGTGCGAAAGCTGGCCCGGACAATATGGTCATCAAAAAAAAACAACTGAGTAATAAATAGGAAAAAGGAGGACGAAATTCCACAGATTAATTCTTGTTTTTATTCTATTTTTCTATTGTCATAGTTGGTTTTAGATATGATCTTTGATACTAGTAAATCTAATTTCAGCCAACCCCTGTTGAACTGCTTAGTTCAAACACACAACATTTATGTTTCTCCTACCTTTAGAAGTTTAATTCTAAATAACGCACTGGGTTGGAATTCTTTCTGATAAAACTATCTTCCCTTGTATCTGTACTTGTTTCATGAAGGGGAGTCAGTTTTAAAGTTAAGTTTTCTTTTAAAAGAAAGGGGACATTTTTATTTTTGAAGTAATTCTAGTTTAGAATATAAAAGGAAAAATGAAATGTTTCTTAAAAAAATCAAAGAATGGGGCATTCCGAGAATCGAACTCGGGACCTCTCGCACCCAAAGCGAGAATCATACCACTAGACCAAATGCCCAGTTGCTGAAGAATGTCATTTTGATTCATGATCAATGTATTTTTTCAATGATTAGCGAAAACTTGACTACAAATGCCATGTATTTCCTTACTGGGAATTGTTTTTGATAACTTATGCTGACTCCCATTAGAATAATATTTAGTGGATAAACAGAGTTTTGAACTCCTCTTTTGCACCCTTCCCTCAGGTGTTCACTTTTTTCTGATTCCTAAAGAGCTATCAGCTTTGATTGTTTGTGGTTCATAATGTTTATATTCCTTATTTATCATACTCAATCCTTTTGGACATGTCACAAGGAACTATAATTGGAGAAGTTTAATGCTTCATGTTTCAACCCCATAATTTGTGTTGGAAGTCACATCTCGTTCTCTCATTTTCTGATTATCTTAGATACGTTCTTGATTGATCTAGTGTGTTCTTCTTGTTTGTGTTTTAGACTGCTGCTCACTGTGTGTAAGTTTTTGTCACAAAACGGCATGAACCTTGTGATGTTCATGCCTTCATTACTCAAGTGAACATTAAATGATTCATCTGCTGGAGAGCAGGAAAATCAAAGAGCTCTTTCCTTAATCAGCAAAGTACCTCTAAACAAATGCTTGGTTTTTGGTTACACTCGCCATTCATCAATAATTTTAGCTACCATTGTCGACATCCATGATCCATGAAAATGAACATTGTTGATGAATCCTTGATGAAGTACAATATATTAGCTAATTGTAACTTCTTAGCTTTCCTACTTTCTTTAATTGAAAACAAAGGCAAAATTGCAAAGACGAAACCATATGCTCATTGTCACTTCTCCTTTTGCCTGCTCTGTCAAATAAACCAGGTAAAGTTGTAAAGCAATAAACCTTCAAAACGTTTACTTATCATAGTTGAGATGCGCCTTCTGCTGATCTGTCAACACAGTATCTGGGATCACTTCAGAGTTCTGTGTTGTATTTTTGACTCACAGATCTGTTGAGTGGTAAAGTGGTAGGTGAACATGCTTAGCAGAATCTTACTAATTTGAGTATTGGCGGTGTATTTTGTTGAAGTGTTCTTGACAAAATGGTTGTGGTTTCTTTGTCTACATATTAATTAGTGCTCTTAACTTTTTCTCAAGATGGTGTAACTGAGCAAGACTATGTTTTGTGTTAAAATGTCAAGTTCCTAAAAAAATGGGGCATTCCGAGAATTGAACTCGGGACCTCTCGCACCCTAAGCGAGAATCATACGACCAAATGCCCTGTTGTTGAATTTATTTTCTCCCCTATGTAATCTACCTTGCTTTAGGTTTCATATCTAACTTGTTTATTGTTTACTTTGCATCATGATAGTCATTAAAAGTCTGTTGATCTCTGAGGCCTGAGCGGCCATACCCGTTAGAAGAGTTCTAGTATTGGTTTGTAATTTTGTATCATCAATACGTTTGTTTCATAGTTTTCTATTTGGTCATGAAATGCCTAGCATAACTTTAATAGATGCTGACTGTACTGATATATTCTAGTCGTAGGAATTTGCTCTCTCTGAAATTAATAATACATCCTTACATTAGTTATGTTAGATATTGTCACGCCCCGAGAGCACCCCCTAGGCGTAACACGGCGTACTTGACCCCGAAGGGGTCTTATACGAGCCCTTGGCATATTCGTCATTGCATATAGACATTGAATAATGCGGAAATTTAAAAACTTTTCAACATCAATATCAAAGTGAGAATCATACCCCCAGACCAAGTGCCCAATTGTTTATAGGTGTCATTTTGACTCATGATCAATGTGTTTTTCCAAATATCAGCAGTGACTCAATCATAAATATCACTGCTAAGTTGCAAAAATAGGAGCATATGTCATCGTTTACTCTAACATTCCTAATTTAACATATGCAAGTTGTTGGAATTAGTTGTCTCTGAATGGAAAATACATCCTTACATAAGTTAGGTGTCAAACAGTCTGTTGACTTTTGTTGATTTGCATTTTTATAGCACAAGATTCAAAAAAAATAAAAGGAGAAAAGCTAAGAGTAATAAAGAGGAAAAAGGATGACTTTATTCCACGGATTAATTCTTGTTGTTATTTCTGTTGTCATAGTTGGTTTTGAATATGATCTCTGATACTAGTAAATCTAATTTCAGTCAACCCCTGTTGAACTGCTCAAACATACAACATTTACATTTCTCCTACCTTTAGAAGTTTAATTCTAATAATGCACTGGGTAGGAATTCTTTCTGATAAAACTATCTTTACTTGTTTCATGAAGGGGAGTCGGATTTAAAGTTATGTTTTCTTTTAAAAGAAAGGGGGCATTTTGCTTATCAGATTTTGAAGTAATTCTAGTTTGGAATAAAAAAGGAAAAATGAGATGTTTGTTGAATCAAACAAAGAATGGGGCATTCCGAGAATCGAACTCGGGACCTCTCGCACCCAAAGCGAGAATCATACCACTAGACCAAATGCCCAGTTGTTGAAGAATGTCATTTTGACTCATGATCAATGTATTTTTCCAACGATTAGTAATAACTTGACTGTAAATGCCATATTCATTGCATATATGTAACCTTTCGGCTTCTTATTTCAATAGCTGTTGATCTATATTTCCTTACTGGGATTTTCTTTGAGAACTTATGCTGACTCCCATCAGAATACTAATATTTAGTGGATAAACAGAGTGTTTTGACCTCTTTTTCACCCTTTCCTCTGCTGTTCACTTTTTTCTGATTCCTAAATAGCTGTCACCTTTGATTGTTTGTGGTTCATAATTTTACATTCCTTTTTATCATACTCAATCCTTTTGGACATGTCCCAAGGAACTTTAACTGGAGAAGTTTAATGCTTCATAATTTGTGTTGGAAGTCACATCTTAAGTAGAGGATACCAAGTTTAGGAATGATAAAGAGGCTTGGGCTTGTGTTTTCTTATTTTCTGATTAGTTTAGATACGTTCTTAATTGATCTAGTGTGTTCTTCTTGTTTGTATTTTAGACTGCTGCTCATTGTGTGTAAGTTTTTGTCACAAAACAACATGAACCTTGTTATGTTCATGCTTCGTTGCTCAAATAAACATTAAATGATTCATTGGTTGGAGATAGCAATCTTCCTCCTAATTAGAGAAGGAAAATCAAATAGCTCTTGCCTTCATCAGCATTGTACCACTAAACAAATGCTTGGTTTTTGGTAACACTTTCCATTGATCAATAATTTTTGCTATCATTGTTGACATCCCTGATCCATGAAAATGAACATTGTTGATGAATCTTTGCTGAAGTACAATATATTAGCTAATTGTCACTTCTCTGCTTTCTTGCTTTTATTTAATTGAAAACAAAGGCAAAACTGCAATGATGAAACCATATGCTTGTTGTCACTTCTCAATTTGCCTGCTCTGTCAAATAAACCAAGGTAAAGTTGTAAAGCAATAAGCCTTCAAAACATTCATTTATCATAGTTGAGATACTCCTTGTGCTGATCTATCAACATAGTATCTGGGATCACTTGAGAGTTTTGTGTTGTATTTTTGACTTGCAGATCTGCTAAGTGGTAAACTGGCAGGTGAACATGCTTGGCAGAATCTTACTAATTTGAGTCTTGGTGGTGTTATTTTTTAAAGTATTCTTGAAAAAATGGTTGTTGTTTTTTTGTCTTACTATTAATTAGTGCTCTTAGCTTTTTCTCAAGATGATGTAACTGAGCACGACAATGTTTGTTAAAATGTTAAGTTCCGAAAACCTGGGGCATTCCGAGAATTGAACTCGGGACCTCTCGCACCCTAAGCGAGAATCATACCACTAGACCAAATGCCCTGTTGTTGAATTTATCCCCTATGTAATTTACCTTGCTTTAGGTTCCATCTCTAACTTGTTTATTGTTTATTTTGCATCATGATAGTCATTAAAAGTCTGTTGATCTCTGAGCGGTCATAACCGTCAGAAGAGGTTCAGTATTGGTTTGTAATTTTGTATCATCAATACATTTGTTTCATAGTTTTTTATTTGGCTATGAAATTCCTAGCATAACTTTAATAGATGCTGACTGTGCTGATATATGCTAGTCAGAGGAATTAGCTCTCTATAATTAAAATCACATCATTACATAAGTTTTGTCAGATATTCACTGACTTTTTCCTGTGGCTTAGCATTTGAAGTAAGAAAAGGATAAAAACAAATGTAAACCAAAGGATACTTAAACTCCACCCATTCACCCTTCTTTTTATATTTTAATATCATAGTTGGCTTCTGATCTTATTTCTAATACTATCTACTCACACTGAGCCTCTCTAGATCTGTTAGCCATATGTAAAGTCACATGTTGCTCAAACCTACCACATTTATATTATTTCTGTACCTGTAGTCTGTAGAACTGTAATGCATTAAATAGAGCATTGGGTAGGAATTGTTTTAGATAAATACTCTCTTACCTCTGCACTAGCTTCATATGGGAGACAGCGGTAACATTAAATTTACTATTAAAAGAAACAACGGATAATTGAACAATTGTGTTACAACCCTTTTTTAAAGAACAAAGGCATTTTGATTTATCAGATTTTAAGGTTAATTTTATTTTAACAGATACAGGGAATAATTGATTAATTATGTATCCGATGAAATAAAATGAGGCATTCCGAGAATTGAATTTGGGACCTCTCACACCCAAAGCGTGAATCATACCACTAGACCAAATTCCCTGTTGTTGATGAACGTCATTCATTACTCATGATTAACATGCTTTTATTCTCTGTATCAGCAATAACTAGATCATAATATCCCATTCCTTGAAAATATAGGACTCTTTGTTTGATGTATTTGATCTGCACTTGCTTATCTGAAGATTTTCCGAGGAATTCAGTTTATTCTCATTAGGCCAGTGTCACTCTGTCACTATAAGTAGAGAGAGTTCTCAACTCTTCTGGTTTCGCAGCCTGTCCTCTAATTCTTAGAAATCATTTTTGATCATATGAAGCCCTTGGGATATCTGAATTTGGACACGTCGTGACTAGCGAAGAACTGTTATTGGTGATAAAATAAGATTTTGGCATTAGATGATTAATGCATCATATTTTAGCCAATTAATTTGAGTTGAAGTCACTACTTGAGTAGAACACCTAATTATAGGAATGATAAAGAGGAAAATATTGGCTTTGCTTTTGGTTTTCTCTGAGTTCTAGTTTATTCTAGATACCTTCTTGATTAATCTAGTCTGTAATTTCTGTTTTGTATTAGTCTGCAGTTTATTATAAGTATGTTAGCTCACAGATAAACATGAACCTTGTGATGTTCATGCAGCATTACTCAAGTAAAGATGAATGAATGATTCGTCAACTGATACTATTAATCTGAGCTCTTGCGCCAAATAGAGAACATACTACTAGAACAATCTTTGATTTTTGGTAACACTTTTCTGAGATTGATTGATAATTTCGGCTCTCATTTTTTACCTCCCTGATCCATAAAAATGAACCTTGTCTATTAATTGATGCTGATGGACAAATATATTTGCTAACTATCACTTAGTTTTACCTACTTTCTCTAATTTAAAACAACTGTAAAACTGCAATGGCATACATTTTCTGATTATCACTTCTCAGTTTCTTTTTGCTTTCTCGAATTGAAAACAAATGCAAAACTGTGTATTTCAAGACTTTCACTTGTCATAGTTGCGAGGCAGCTTGTGCTAATCAATTCCTTCGTGTCTTAGGGATCACTTAGGAGTTATATGATGGAGTTTGGACTTCCATAGCTGGTAAAGTTGCAGGTGAGCACAAATCAGCTGGCTTGAACCAATCATGTTTTATTTTTGATTTTGTTCTTCTAGATCCTATTTGCCTTAATTGGTCTCTTCATGTGTTTTTTTTTTTTTTAAATAAAATTTATTTACTTAGTACTTTTTCGCTTTTAGATCCAGATGAGTTTTCCTAGTATTGTTTGAGAGTAGGAGGAATCTCATCTTACCTGGTGAGATACTAAAGATGAAATTTGGCAGAAAAGTTAGTTGACTTACAATGACAAAGCATTCTGAACAGGAAATTGGGAAAAAAGCTCTGAAAGTTGAACAGTATGGATATTCAAAGAAGAATTAACTCTAGGTTGTCTGCATTGCCATTTTGGATTAAGAATACATATTGCAGTTTACATGTAAAAATTGCCTACTCCTTTTGTTAAGAGTTTTTGGCCAAAAGCATCCCCAAATTATACCTTCAACTTAAACTACATCCTTAAATTATCTTTCTTAACAGAAAACATTCCCCAAATATTTAAAACTTAACCACTTTCATCCTTATGTGAAATTTTTGTCAAATAATTAATGGATTTTACACAAAAACATGTGCAGGTCACACTGCTCTGAGTAAAACTTTTCCCACATAAGTTCATTATCTGTTGGAAAAAGCTGCCCCCACCCCCCAAAAAAAAAAAAAATTTAAATTTTTTGAGACCCTTATTTGCTGAAAAGAAATAAAGTTAGGATGGTGTTGCAAAGAGACATAATTTGTTCTTCTTCTCCTTTACCAACTTAACGATGCTGGACCTTAATTTAAC